AGTTTGTTTTGTTCCAACTCAAACTCTTTAAAAGACTGTCATTTAAACTTTTTCTCAAGACCAGCCACATCTTCCTAGAAATGTACTCTTGCTGTTTTTCCTATTTAAGGCAGCTGACATCTTTACATAGTAACTAGTCTCATGCAATCGCATAAAATCAGAAATTGGGAGTTGGAAGAATGTCAGAAGTGTAGCAGAGGCTGGGGACACCTAATAATGTGAGAATTAGTGTCTGTAGGGCCACAGATTCTGTAAGACTTGTCATATTGTGAAGTGATTTTTCTGATGTGTGTCTCACTACTGGGCTCTGAGCATCTAGAGATGAAGGACTGTGGGATCAATTTTTTTTTTTATAGAGTAGTATATATTCATTCAATAAATGTACACTCAACAAACATGGATTTTATACTTTCTATGTATGAGATGTCCTAGGCAACATATGAGCTAAATGGATAATACTGTCTGTATTCAAGAGCTTTATATTGTACAGGAGGAGACAGAACTGTGAAAAGGGGAGAACAAATTAAGCATTGCATGCTTATCTAGTGCAAATGAAAGACTCATTTAACTCTGATATGAGTGATATAAAGTGGTATAATAATTCTGATATGAGGAGTGGAGGTGGTAACAATTGAATTGGTTTTAAAAATTACCTAATACTTTCATGGTGATTCATATTTCTTGAAATATTTTCATTGACATTACCTCATTTGATCCCTAGTCAACTCTTTAAAATATGTAGAACAATGTTATTATTCCCATTTTATAGATGAGGAAAATTGAGGCTCAGAGAGGTCCAGTAACTTCCTCCTCAAAATTTTCTAGGGTTTTCTTCATGACATTGTTATAGTATACATATTTTTCTCTTTCCTATGCCACACTGGGAGTCCTGAGGACAATGGCATCTTATTCATGTTTGTACCTGCAATGGTTATTATAGTGGCAAATATGCAGTAAGTGCTCAATAATTATTTGTGAGATTATTGGAATGATTAATGGTGTCAAATGATGTAGAGAAACTGAGTTGGATGAAGACTTTGAGAAGGTATCTTGAGTTTGGTGATTAGTTGAAAACTATTGAGAATACTTTCATTGGAGTTTTAAGGGTGGAAGCCATATGTCGTTTTTTGTTGCCATGAGTTAGTGCCCTCGAGTCGGTTCTGACTCACAGTGACCCTGTGTACAACAGAACGAAACACTGCCTGGTCGTGCACCATCCTCACAATCCTTGTTATACTTGAGCCCATCGTTGTAGCCACTGTGTCAATCCATCTTGTTGTAGGTCTTCCTCTTTTTCACTGAACCTCTACTTCACCAAGCATGATGTCCTTCTCCAGGGACTGGCCCCTCCTGATAACGTCCAAAGTACATGAGATAAAGTCTTGCCATCCTTGCTTCTAATGAGAGCACAAGCTAACGTCTAAATGCATAGCAGACAGTGAAGGGATAAAATAACCAAAACAAAAACTTCCCTTAGAAAAAGTAAGAATGGGAGACACCTAGTGGTCTCTAGTCCTATAAACCTGTTGCCATCCAGTCTGTTCTGACTCATAGCGACCCTAAGGCTGTGATGAACTTTAACCAGACAGACAATATAAAGACTCTATCCTTTGACAGTGAGAGTTTCCTAATTAGGATAGATTATGTTCTCTGGGAGGAACTCCATTATCCATTGTTCTCCATAGCTCCTGAGTCCACCCTCTGGGAGATTCTTCCTTTTCCAAGTTCTCTGTGCCCACTATGCCCAC